CCACATGTATTATTATGTTTTTTACGGCATGGAAATGTCTGGAATTCTTAACCCAGAAGATTCAATGCATCTGTTTGCTTTACATCTGGTCTATCTTCTAAGAATTAATCATGCCCTAGACGAATACAAAGAGGCATTTGACCCTCATGCGGTAAGGACAGAGAACAACTGGACTCCTTATCAGATGTGGCTTAATGGTATGATGCATGAAAGAAATCCTCTTGTCCATTCGCAGCTTCATGATAACCCGGATGATGTTGAATATTACGGGTATGATCCCCAAGGTCCATCACCCCTGGAAGACAACGGCACTGTAGTAGTTCCAGTGGTGATGCTTGATAATAATGAAGAGATACGGTCATTTGTATTAGAGAACATAAACCCCCTTTCTCCATCACATGACATGGGAGTTGACATTTATGTAAATGCTCTCCAACTTGCAGAAAGTAAAATTGGAGAATTAAATGGTCCCATAGTGTAATAGTACCATATCATGTACAAATAGTTGCGGTAAATGAGTTATGTACGTTGGAAACGATTTTCTCGTCGAAAATAGCAAACTGTTTTAACAGACTGTTTTCACTGATCACATGACAGATTCTAAAATTGAATCCAACGTTGGCTGTCTCACATCTTTTCTGGGTAGCTGTTATGAGTGCTAACAATTTGAAAATATGGATGATATTAACACTATATTTTCAAAGACTGTTTAAACTACTGTATTATACACACAATTATGTTTTTAAATGCTTGATTAAGGCCAAGAAGTGTTTTCCAACTCGGCAATTCCACTTTAACAAGATTCAAAACATTTAGGTTAAAATTAAGCATCATTTGAACACTTGCTATTAGGCCGCCATGTAGGTGTACAGAATTGTGCTTAATGTATACACAAACACGGCAGCTACTGAACCTCTTAACCTTCACCAAGCATTTTAAAATATAAAAAAAATATTAATTACATCATATGCTGTACTGGCAACGTTTTGAAGAACTATAGCAACAAGAATTGTTAGACGGTATTCTGTTTTACTTTATCAACAAATAACTTGCTGTTCAAGTTTACATTACGAACATAAATATAAACATCGTCCTAAACTATAAACACTTCATCCCTAGTTGTTCAATTTAAACAAAGCCAATAACACAACAAACTTGATACAATTTTATCAATATAACTTACAGGTGAAGTTGTGCAACCCTGTTACAAATCTAAGCAAGGCCAAAATAGCTGTTACAAAATGCATAGTCATACACTTCAAATAGCTCAACTTCATCTGGCAAAGGGATATCATGTGAAGGTATAGGAAACGTCACAACTTGGCTGCATGTATTCGCGGAAGGAAATAAATGCACATTTGGAGGAAGACGAGGCTGTAACGAATTGGATGGATGGATGCATGGCGAAACCAATGGGTGGCTCTTCATCAGTCGCCATACAGAACTGTAGAATATTTCCCAACGCCACTTGATTCCTTCTACCACTAGCAACAATACGTACATAATTTGAGAATGTTCTATAAGCAGCATTCTCATAATGGCGCGTGTTTGAACCTTCCTCTGAAAAAGATGGCTCGAGAAGACTAATCAATTTCTTTCGTGTCAACCTGTTTGAGTTTGTTGCACGAAACAAATCAACGAAAGCTGGTAACTCCTTGCCAATTTGAAAGAGCCGAACTTTAGCAAACCCTGCTCGTAGATTAGCGATACACAGAGAAGGAGATTCTGTCATGAATGTTTCTTTGATAATTTCCTCAGTCAGATAATGGGGAACACGTCCATTCTGTAACATACTAAGCCCCATTATTAACCCAACAACTTCATAATCCGCACTCATGTAATCTCGTAACCCTTTAGCAAAGTACTTTGATTGTATCTTTCTCAGACATAGCATAAAAAACTCTTTCCTAGGACCACCCAAATCTGACGCCAGTTCGCCATAGAATGAAACTTCCAAGATAAGTCGTGGATTCTCTAAAGAGCTTATCTTTTCAAATGCAGATTGTAAAACTCCTTCTCTGTCTACATGAATAAAATTGGTTGCACCTTCGACTGTATCTGATGCTGAAGTAATGTCAAGTGGTCGGCCTTGTACTATATATGTCGAAGCACACCTCAATATTTCAATGGGGTCTATAATATTCTCTGTATTGCATTTTTTTATGCAGTCCAAGATAACCTTTTCAAAACTGCCTTCTTGGATGCTTTCAGATCCTTCACCTGATATTTCTGTTGTTGGCTGGTTGGACTCACTGGAGCTGTCATTATTTGGGAGGTAACTTTGTACTTCCTCTGTATATGTATTAGGAAATTCGTCAGATCGTGAGGAGTCATCATGTGGCAGGAGAAATTCTACAAAAAAAAGTCGTCGTATAACAACACGTGTAAAGGAAAACACAAAACAACATGTACAGTACACAAAAGCATAATGAATTATAAGCATTAGTTATTGATGCTGGAGGGGTAAACCATTTATTGTACAAGTGACTGTCGGGATGCCCCCCTCTCCATTGGTGTGCAGGACCCCCAGAAAAACTCTGCTCATCATCATCCAGTGTAGATCATTAGGCTAGATTATAGAGTACCCGTCCACTTTTGTGACTGTTTTATTTCCGTTATACGATGATACGAAGTGAAAATAATGACGTCATTATTATAAGTCGCGTCATTTATTAGGACTGGGCAAGTGATACGATGATACGAAGTGAAATTAAAAAACGTAATTATTATGAATTCCCGTTATTTAGTGGAACTGGGCAAGCTATGATAGGAACTGGGCAAGCTACGATACGAAGTGAAATTAACGCAAAATATCACTACTGTATATCTACATCCTCCGCAGGCCATACAGCCCGTTATGCGTATGCCCGTTCGCAGGTTGATATTTGAGAATAAGGCTTGTGTAATATAGTGTATTTCTCGTTCTGAAAAGAACACGCAAGAGATCACTACTATGGTATATTCCTCCTTCTCAATAAAAACACGCAAAATATCACTACTATAGTGTATTCCTTGTTCACGTATCGACATTTCAGCAATGTAAAACCTCTCCTATTACCAAACTTCCTTAATTAATTACCTCATTTATCACCTACCTGTCAAGATCATATCACAATATAAACCGATCGAATGTCATATAGTGTCACTTAATCGCCACTTATTGCTGTTAAAAAATATACCTTGCCCAGTCTTATTAAATAACGCGGACTTATAATAATTATGTCACTTCATTTCACTTCGCATCATCGTATCACTGAAAAATATACCTTGCACAGTCTTAATAAATAACGCGCATACATACATACACACTTTATTTAGCGACGCTAGCCCCGACAACTACAAAAGTTGATTTCCCCCGGGAGCGTCCATATAAAAAAATATTACAAAATATAAAAAGGAAGCAAACTAAGTCTACTACAATATGTACAGTACTGTAATCCACGATGGTGTGTCCCAGATAAAGATATGATTAACTGAATCCAGACTCGGTTATTAACATCAAAAATTTGTTTTATACAACTTTTAAATATATATAAATTCATTGAGCTTGCTTAGCTTCAAGCGGACGGTTATTCCAAAGATAAGCACCGCTATATTTAAAGCTTCTTTTGAGAAATTCTGTTTGGCTTTGGAAGCTAGGTCAGATCAGTTTGAGAATTTCTAAGATTATAATTGTTTAGTAAAATATTTCTAGTTATGAATGAATCTTTCAGAGTTGGTGCAGTACTATTACCCAAGACTTTATATAAGTATGTTGCCTTGGTTAAGTACCATCTTGTTTCCAAATTATCCCAATCAAGGGTTCTAAGAACGTCAGCAGATCTGATCTCATAACTGGTGCCAGCTATTATTCTGGCGGTCCGATTTTGGAACTTTTCTAAACTATCTCTTAGTGTTTTGTTACAAACCCCCAAAGGGGAGAGCAGTAATCGAAGTAAGGCTGTATCAGAGCATTATAAATTGATATCAATGTGTTTGCAGGAACATAGGGCTTGATACGCTTTAAAATTCCTATGCCCGCACCAACATTTTTGCAAACCATTTCAATATGTTCGCCCCAATTCAATGTTTCATCAAGACTCCCAAACACGGGATTGAGTGCACTAGCTCTGGGAATCAGTTGATCACTAATCATTACGGGGAACTCATTGCCCATTTTAGCAACATTATGATTTGATCCGACATACATTAATTTGGTTTTTGTTGAATGATGCTGCAGTTTGTTTTTAACCAGCCATTGACTAACATTGTTTAAATCATGATTTAAATTAACATTAATTTCTACACATGCAGTCTTTCGCAGATGAAAATATCTGTGAATCGTCAGCATATAAGCATGGGGTTGACTTCTCAAGACAATCAGGTAAATCATTAATATTACTGTATTAATCATAACATTCTTTTGCGCAAAATGAAAGAACAATTTGGATTACTTAACAAAAGAAATACTTTGTATTCGCTTATTTCAGACAGAGTAAACAGAGTCACTGGACTAGTACCAAGATTTTCTGACAAGTCCAGAGCATCATGGTCAATTTCAGCGGATAGTTTTGGCCCAATTCTCACGAAAAAGTCATTAAAGGCCTCCGCTATCATTAAATTATCGGAAATAATAGTGTCGCCTACTTTTACTTGGGGAATGTTGTTTGATTTAAAATTCTTACCCAGAGGTGATCTTTAGTCTGAGCACAATCCTCAAACTTTGGGAACTTTGGCTTTGTACAATTCAGAGTTAACTTTATTGAGAGTGTCTTTATACTTCGCCCAGTGTACAGCAATTGAGAATTAAATTTTACCACTTTCTTTTTCAAGAGTTTGGATTTTCATATTGCGCCACATTTTCCCATGGCATCTGTGATAGATCACTAATAAGAAAGTCCGTAGCATTGAAATTTTTAAAGTTCCGGACATATCTAACATTTTGTCTAACAATTGGATCGCTCCTAACAATTTCCGCACGTAATACAAATATACTGAAAATATGCAAACTAATTCGCAAGGCTATATATAATTTCTGTATTTTACAACATTTTGTAACCGAATTTCCTTTTTTTGCCTAAATCTAAAATTAGTCTAACATGCAAGTTGTCTATTGTAATAGTTTTTTTATTTATTATTATTATTATGTTACATTAATTTTCGTAATTTTTGCCTGAAATAAAAGTATGTTGGATCAGCACTCCTTTCAACACTCTGATTATTGTTTTAGCATCGGGATATATCTTATCAAAGCCCTACTTGCACAAGTGGCCAGGGTAATTACCCCACCAACCCCTCAGCTATCTCAACTGTGGTGTATCTAACCCAAATATAGTGGATAACATGCCACTGACTGACATTAATTAACCTGGTCTTGAAATTAGTTTCGATTGCTGACATATGAGAATAATAATTTTGCAATTGCAAAAATTATCAGTACAACCAGATTAGAAGGTATACAATGTACAGTTATGCATGAGTCAATTCCTGGAGTAACCATCCCCCCCCCGGGACACCCCCGGGAATTTGGCTGATAGACAGTTCACGGGGGTCGGGAATTTGCCTTTCATCATTTCATGTACGTGCACGGGGGCCGGGAATTGTTATAGTCGCTAAGGACCCCGGGGATTTGACAAATGGGTGCCCAGAATTCCACCCGCAAATTTTAAGGCAGCAAAACCTAGTTTCAGGCACACAAGTGGGCACGCTGATCGTATTTTGCGCCCTCGTGGTCAAGGTGGCGTAAAATTTATTGTCAGAATAAGCGAAAATTATAACCTGTGCCGTGCAAATTTAAGTACAACTATTGAAGGTTTATGATTTCATTGTTTAATACATTTAACCAATCTTAGCAAGATTCAAGTTTATATTAAAGTGTTATAATATACCATAGCAGTTTAATACTATGCTATGTTTTATGACTATGGTATTATATGCTATTAAAAGTTAAATTAACGTTTAAAATCGTCCCCGGGTGGGACATTTTCCACTTTCAGCTTGCCCAAGGGCCGTGCATTAGGAATTTTTTTTTGGGGGGGAGGGGGGAGAAGCCTTGTTGGATTATTTCAACCGGTGTGAAAAGCCCTACCCTCCAGTATTCAAATTTGTACATCATAGTGTAGTTAAGATTTAACATTTCATTTCTAAATACAGTACCTTCGTCATCACAGGAGTCGTCAACCAACAAACATTCAAGGCCATCTTTGAGTTTCACATAAATCGATCCCTGGCCGGCTAAGAGCTTCACTTGCTGGTAATCATACGACTGGCAGCTGACCGGTTTCGAAAGCTATCTCCGGGTAGCTCGTAGGAATTCAAAATCGCTGTCACTAACCATAGGGTGTTTTAGCCTCGTTGCCTTGCCAATTTCAGCACGAATATCTGCTTCTTTACTTGCTGTGGTAGTCTCAATCAGTCCACGAAGTGCAATATTTTCATCAGTGATTGCCCAACTTTCACTTTCGACGGTTATATTTGCCAACACAAATTCGAATACCTTTTTCAATGGAACTGTCTCTTTTTTCTGTCGTTTGTTCGTGAGTTGGTTACTAGCGGCTGATGTCGAAGCTCTCAGGCGGCGTTCTCTTTGAGAAAGTCTGGAGTAAGCACCTCCGGATGCCGAACTTGTTATCATTGATCGGGCACGGGTGACTGCACTTCCAATCCTACTGCCAATTGCGGTGGACAATCCGATTCCTGATCGGACTTCGGATCGGACAGCTGTTTCTTCGCTTCTGCTAGCTGTACTAGCGGCGGTCGAGCGTGAGACGGTTGACTGTGGCACAACCGCTGCTTGATTGTTTATAATACCATTGATTGAATTAGCACTAGATAATTGACCACTATCGAGTAAAGTTGACAAAAGCGAAGACGCTTCCTTTAAATGTTGCGACAGTTCACGTAAATTTCCTTCCATCTTTCCAGGAGTTTATCTCTTTTCAGTTTATGAGTTTATTTTCAGTTTATGAGTTTTCGTGGTTTTCGTTCACTGGTTTTCGTCTTATTTCAATATGGCGGACACCATTTGGCGGGAAAACTCCTACACTCGACCCAGGCCTCCCATATTTGGTCACGTGCATCGAATAAACTGGTTTGTCATGATTGAACATAGAATGTTTGATTGAACATTGAATGTTTGATTGAACATTGAATGTGTCATTGAACATTGAATGTTTGATTGAACATTGAATGATTGATTGAACATTGAATATTTCATTGAACATTCAATGTTGTCATTGAACATTGAATGTTTCATTGAACATTGAATGTGTCATTGAACATTAAATGTTTGATTGAACATTGAATGTTTGATTGAACATTGAATGTGTCATTGAACATTGAATGTTTGATTGAACATTGAATGTTTGATTGAACATTGAATATTTCATTGAACATTGAATGTGTCAATGAACATTGAATGTTTGATTGAACATTGAATGTTTGATTGAACATTGAATGTTTCATTGAACATTGAATGTGTCATTGAACATTGAATGTTTGATTGAACATTGAATGTTTGATTGAACATTGAATATTTCATTGAACATTGAATGTGTCATTGAATATTGAATGTTTGATTGAACATTGAATGTTTGATTGAACATTCAATGTTTCATTGAACATTGAATGTTTCATTGAACATTGAATGTTTCATTGAACATTGAATGTTTCATTGAACATTGAATGTGTCATGATTGAACATTGAATGTGTCATGATTGAACATTGAATGTTTGATTGAACATTGAATATTTCATTGAACATTGAATATTTCATTGAACATTGAATGTTTCATTGAATATTGAATGTTTCATTGAACATTGAATGTTTGATTGAAAAATAAATTGTTGACGTTTGTGTGCGTATTTTAAGAACTGAATACAATAATAAATACAGTTATTGAATATTGCTACAAATGGCTTGCCATACTAGTTCAATCCTTTGGGAGCAAACATTCAAACAGGAATGATATTTATTCAAATTTTCTACTTATAAAGTTCCAAAGACCTAATAAGATACATGGAATTTGTTTTCAAAGGTATGTTTATTGTGTATTTACTTTGTGTGCGGAAAGATACTTGATATACTGTATAGTAATATTTTTAAATCGAAGGCCTGTATTTTAGTCGCTTCGCCGCCGATTTGTCGATCTAGACATTCAGTTTTAATTTTCGATTAATTTGTATTAGCAGAAGTCCGTAAGTCTAATCTACAGTCTCTACTTATATGTGTTGTTAGCTCCGTTTACACGAGCAAATTTTATTTGACAAATTTCATTTCATCAAAAGCATTTGATCAAAAGCTAGCTTTTGTTCAAATGCATTTGTCACAATAAATTTGTCACAAATTTATCATCTACACGAGCAAAATATCTTTGACATATGAAATTTGTCAAATAAAATTTGCTCGTGTAAACGGCGCTTTATTTGTGTGATATACATGTACAGTATGTTGTATTTCGTGTTAAATATTTGCTAAGTTGTCATGTATATTTTTATATATGTGATCTGTTTGAAATGCAGTCACATTTGACAGCATTGCAATAGCCCATCTAATATTACCCAGTGTATGGCATGTGCTTGCTATGGTAGCCCTCCTATCGGCTATCAGTCAGCCTAAAACATGTGTAAGGGGCTGCTTATATAGAGGCGAGCCACCCAGGTAACCTGGCTATAGCTCGCTTTCCCTGGATGAATGTCTGTTTACATGAGCCTCTTTAGATGGGCAGGCTTGCCAAAACAAATCACCCAGACTGAGTTATATAGTAGAAGCACATTTCCCAATAAAGTAAACCAACATGTGATCAATCACTCATACTTTTGCAGACAGTTTCGAAATATATAAACTGACAAAAACAATCACAGAGATCTTTTTACCCTGGGCCCAGGGGTAATACTGTGCCAAATCGTACATCTATTTTAAACACCCTTTACCAGAAAAGTTGTATTCATTTGGATGATGTTAGTTCAATTGCATGCTTACATTAAATTAATAAAAGCATTTGAATTTTGTATTTCTTGCTTTGTATATGCAAACAACCAAAAATAGCAAATTCATTGTCAATCAATCAATCAATTTTTATTTTGTGTGTATTGGTGTTATGTACTCAGGTGAGTATATGATGTTTGTGATGTTACTGTGAGTGTGCATCCACACCGGGCAAGCTGAAAAGTTAGCTTGGCCACAGTGGGACCAACCTGTGACCGTGGCCAAGCTAACCTTTCAGCATGCCCGGTGTGGATGCACACTTACTGACTCACAGTAACATCACAAACATCATATATTCACGTGAGTACATGACACCAACACACACAAAATAATCGTATCATTGAATTCCTCTGTACGCTGATGTCGAAGGAAGTAGACTCAGTTCCGAAATATCATCAACTCGAACAGACTTGACCATGTAGCTCAGTTGGTAGAGCATTGGACTAGTATCCCAAAGGTCGCAGGTTCGATTCCCACCGTGGCCAAGTTAACTTTTCAGCTTGCCCGGTGTGGATGCACACTCAAAGTAACTTCACAAACATCAATCAATAATTTGCTGCTGTTATATATCAACCTTATATATTTTTTTCTTACTGGGATTGTCATTAATATATGGATTTAACAAAAGCTTGCCAGGAGAAGGCAAGTTGTCTAAACAAGTGGTATTATATGTAATCATTAATGGCATTCTAAGAACTTCATGGTCTATTTGGAAAATGTTATTCTTTTGCTGGAGAGCATTTTTATGAATTACCAAACCATGCAAGGGATGGGGTTGCCGACTTGTGGTATACAGCATGTTTTGTACTACATTTTTACTAATGGACTTGCTTGACATGTTTGATTGAGCAGTGACACTACATACATTATACATGTAGTATATTTTACTTGTAAATATTCTACATTGAACAGAATATTAATATTATTATTTCTGTCTAATGTGGTCAGACAATTTTACTCATTAAGGAGAGAGTGCTGCCACTTAATGGGTTAAAGCTTTTCTGTAAATGTAAATTTCGAACGATAACTATGTAATAGCCGGTACTGTGCTGGGAATGGAACCTGCTGCCGTGTGATTCTGATCAGCTTTTTAACCGCCAAGGGTCCTCAAGCCCTAAGAGTCCATCGCCCTGAGAGTCAGTGAAGCTCTACTGTAACCAAGAGTTCATGTATATACATGTAATACTAGTGTCATCCTGGGCAGTTTATTTAATACTCTACCAATGACACCACCATGGTATATATATACAGCAAATTGTGGTTACAAAAGGGCTCTTTAGGTCAGAGGGCTGCGGTAGAATTGCAGGGCTGCAGGTTCAATTCATGCTGACAGGCTTGTAATTGTATTCCACATGTATTCATGATATCATTCTAATCAAACTTTCATTTTAGAGCTTCATTCAAAAATATTATAGGGCGTAAGAGTATACAGTATCATTATATTATGCCACAGCAAATTGTATTTCCTGCTATAATATACCTTACTTGTAGGGATAATAAATTATTTTGACTCGAAAAATGTCTTTATTGATTTCTAAAGTTAGTTAAAGACTTTTCTTTACTCCGATATATAGAAGTCATTTTGTCTCCAAAGGAGTCGAATTGACTCCAAAAGTGGAGTAAATAAAAAAGGTACAGAACGACTCCTTTTTTGGAGTAAATTTTACTCCTTTTTTTATTCCATGTTTTGGAGTAATTGTAACTCCTTAAATGGACTTGTTTTTACTCCTTGAAGAGTAAGAACAACTGTACTTAAGAAGTAAAAATTACTCCAAAACATGGAGTAAAAAAAGGAGTAAAATTTACTCCAAAAAAGGAGTCGTTCTGCACCTTTTTTATTTACTCCACTTTTGGAGTCAATTTGACTCCTCGAAATAAACAGTGAGGTCTGGTCTTGATAGCAAATATTTAAAATGCTTCTTTATTGCATCCATCAGAACGATCCTCGAATATGCTTGCCAGGTTTTCCATTATGGCTTATCTAAGTATTTATCGGACGTAATTGAAAGAATTAAAAAAAGGGCATTGCGTATAATTTCCTTGGAACTATCATATGAAGATGCCTTAACTACTCTAGATACGAAGAGTCTATGGCTGAAAAAAGAAGATCTGTGTAGTAAACTTTTTAAATTAATTGTTGACGATGAAAATCATAAACTCCACCATTTATTGCCTATGAACGTTCCAGATATTTATAATTTTAGAAGTTCAAAACAATTTTATATTCCTAAATTCCGTACAAACAGATGTAGGAACACTTTTATAATGTCAAATCTCTTGAATGAATAGTATATTTGATCACCTGTTTGTAGATCACCTGTTTGTAGGAACCAAAATAACTCCGAGGGTGATACCTCTGTTAAGGGTTACGCAATAGTTCCATACATTCAAGGTGTCACAGAACCAATCAAGAGAATCTTAAGTAATTGTAATATTAACTCATGCTGTATTTATTCTATACCATGCGGTGACTGCGAGAAAGAGTATTTGGGTCAGTCTAAACGCCAGTTTAATTTGGTACACGGCTAAAAGAACATCAAAAGGCTGTTTCAACTTTTGACAAGGGAAAATCAGCTTTAGCCGAACATGTACGTTGCACCAAACACGATATTTCGTTGGAAAACTCTAAAGTAATTACCATTAACAATCGCTATGGTATGAATTTGAATAGGTATGACAGTGCCTATTTGCCAAAGGAATAAATGCATCTCATTGGCAGGTGACGTCATCCCTTGGGTATTTAAGAAGCCACGATTGCAATTTTAGATCACCCCTGATGAAAACACTAGACTGGAGTGTCGAAACGTTGGGTCTTGTATTCATTTATGTAAACCAGAGTAGCGAGAGAAACATGATTGATATACCTGGTTGCAGTGAACGAACAAACTTTAAAAGAATAATATATTATGTAGATGTCTTCTTACCATTTT